CAATTACGCCCGCTAATGAAGAAAGCAAATTTGGCGTTAATTGCAGCGTTCTACGAACGAAGCGGTGAACCGTGGCCTTGCTCTCCGATGCCACGCTGCCTGAACGGCCCACAGAGCAACAGGTGACGCAGTTTTTCTGTGCCTCTAGGCACGCACTGTCAACGCTGTCCGCCGTCACTGAAAAGCAAATTTACAGTCGTTCAAAATCTCCAGATATTAAATTAATATTTGGGACGTTTATTAATTTCTTCACAATTACTGTCGATCATCTCCTATATAGTCCTGAGGTGTAAATTAAACGGATGGTCTAACATTGATGTTTGAAACGAAGGGGTAATAGAAAAAAACTACTAGAGTGCTCCCTACAAAATAGCAAATATCTTCCAAATCTTACTTTGTTTCAGATATAAATTGGTTCATTTTTGAAATTAACCAACAGTTAATTCGCTGAGTGAGCCCAGTTTTAACTAGTCAAATACAATTTTATTATAATTATTCTATTGTAACTGCTTTCCACGGAAATTGTGTGTCTTATCAAACTACGAGTAGAGCATTTTTGGATTGAAACTGACTGGGAGGATGGCTTACCATTTCATATCATTAGTGGAAATTAGCTTGACAAATGTAATTTAATTCTCTCAGATAGTTTTCTGGAGGCTTTAACATTTTTACAATGCCGCTTTGTTATTTGTGAACGCGATGATTGTTTTGGCAATCAGGAGCATTTAATTATATATATATATATATATTAATATATATATATATTATATATATATACATATATATATAAATATAAAGGGCATTTTAATATTATATAATATAGTTTTATAATATATCATATATATATATATATATATATATATATATTATATATATATAAATTATATATATATATATATTATAATATATATATAATATAAGGAATTTATATATATATATAATATATATATAAAATTCCCTTTATAAAACACAAAGAAATATTACAGCTTATATTATCGCAGAAATATTACGGCCATGAATGTACGAATAGATAAGTGGTTAATTCGGAGACTGTCAAAATCATTTTCCTAACTACTATGTGATTAAAGTATTCACCCCTGCTTAAGAATATATTAATAAAAAATAATGTAAATGTTAACTCAGTATTATAAGCTCACTGAACTTATAAAGCAACGGATCAAATGTTTACATAAGGGAAAATATTAGTTTTGAACAGAGTTATAAACCTCAGTGTTTTAATTAAATTTAATCAATAAATTTCTCTAAAACAAATGACAAATGGCTGCCTCTTTTATTTGATGTCATTTGAATGATTCTTTGATAATTTGGTGCTCTTATCGAAATGAGTGGTGTCTTTCTTATCCGAAACATAATGCACAAAGGGTTCAGTAATTATTTTACTATTGTGTGCCAGACTGTCAGAATGTTGATGCAAATTAATATTAAACAGTGAAATTGACCAGAGACTATGGCATCTTTGCGACTAAAGAATATTTATCGGAGATTCTTCTTAAATTAAACGAATGGCTGTTGTAGTGCACACTCTGTAGGTAAGAACACAATTGAGAAAATCATTTCATGATGTAAAAATATCTGGGTTTGCCATATACGGCACAAATGTACTGGCCATATGCTTACTAGCAAACTTATGCATGCGTCTGGGCAGACGCAGAGGCGAACATGACAGTGTTTAAAACGCATGGCGTATGAAGAGTGTGCCTATTTGGCCAGAGCTATTTAGGGCCTTCCTTCATCAAAAAAACACATTTGGATGATGGTTTGCCGTTACGCGTCTGCATTACTACTACAACTAACACGCGAAATCACCACTGCTGCTGGATTATCAATCTGTCTTTTTTCGTTCTTTCTTTCTTTCTCTTTCTATCTTTCTTTCTCTCATTATTTTTTTTCTATCTTTCTTTGTTTCTTTTCTTTTTTCTTTCCTTTCTTTCTTTACTTCTTCGCGGAGGCATCCAAAACTTCAAATTTGCTATTGTTTAATACAAATAATGTTTATATCATTTAATTTTTCCTGTTGAACATTTCACCATTTTATAACAGTATACTACTTTTCTCTTGAGAACTGGTCCGGGAACTTAGAGACTTTTGTCCGGCTCGGGTGGTGCCGCCGCTGGGGGGGCGACTACCTGGTGCGGAAACCCCGCTAGCCGACCCGTAGGTCGTCGCTGAATTCGACATACTGCGGAGAGAGACCACAGCATAGTCCCAAGCAAAAACACGCACTCTTACAGGCTAATGACTCAATCGTTGACAGCGTCCGGAATCATTAAGCATCAATCAATCATTCATTCATCTTTGAATCTTCCAATTACATTTTTGGATCGTTTTCCTCTTTGAGTGACCTCTGTAGCCAGTCATAAACTAGTTAAATTATATGATATTTGATCATTGGTGTGATTAATTGCCCTAATTTGTATTTGTTAATGAACTCTCAGCAACATTAGAATGATTACGCACGCGCAGTACCGTGACTTTATCGTTTATGGGCTTGCAATATTATCACCCTCTAAATGATGTTCTAGAGAATCACGGTTAACGCTTTAAAGCGTGGCTGAATGATTGGTATCATATGCTTAGTAATGGTGCAATTAAGTGGTAAGCATTTCTCAAAGGCATCGTAGGGTTTTTCCGTTAAAAATAACAATTTTAAAGGTTTTTAAAATGAGTGTCATAACTCAAATTTAAATGTTCGAGTTGGGGCGCAGTTTTCGCTCATGAACGATAAGGTGTAACCGCCTCTTGTAGGGTTTGGGGCCGTTCAACTTTGTTTCAAAGTTCTATTTAAAAACCGCTGATGTTTTGAAAAGGGCGGGTTTATTTCTACAGCCCGCTTCCGTGGTCAAACAATTTTATGTTACATCGGGAGTGAGTTGGAATAATTCACACGTTCACCGAAGAGTGTGACGTTACAGATACGAAGCTCAATATACACGGAATACCTGATCGGAAGAGGACCGTTGTTTACGAGGAAATATGAAAAAAAGTGAAATGTTACTTGCGGAGGGAATTATGAATGGAATTAAAGGAGGAAAATATGAAAAGACGTAACCGGTTAAATGGTAAACATCTAGTTAATTAGTACGGAAGTAAATCTGAATCAAGTAAAATTAGGTAAAAAATAAAATCAGATATTACTAACCACGGCGTAACTGGGTTCTAATGATCTCGGGCGTCGAAAAGCCCCGGGCTTTTGTCGCGCTCGATCATTAGAACTTTATAATAAACTTTGTGCGTAATAACAGTTAAATAAATAATAAATATTGTAATATATAAAAATAAATAAAAAATATTGTAATATATAAAAAAGTAATGTACATCCGCCGTGCGACCCTTACTGACGGGCATATGTGTTGTGTGTGTTAGGCCCGACCGACGATGGCGTCCGTGCTGCCCTCGGGCGCTGCCTCTGCTGGCACTGCTGGGCTGCTGTGCTGTGCGCGGCCGCGCCTTCGGCCTCCGCCTCCGACGACGACGCCGTCGAGGCCGAGGGGGGCGGCGGGCGGGCCGGCGGAGGGCGCGGCGCCCGCGCTGCTTCGCTCGCCTGCGCGCCTGGGAGGCGTCCGCCCGCCGCCGCCGACCACGGCGCTGCTGCCCTTCGCGGGCCCCGGAAAAAAAGGAAAAAAAAAAAAAAAAAAAAAGGGAAAAAAAAACCTCCTCGACCGCGCAGGTGCGTGCGATCATAGTTGCACGCCACGCCCGCACGCCCGACACGTGGGACGCATTGACCACGCAGGCCAGACAGCAATGCAAGTGACGCCTGGGAGCCGCTATTCAATTTCGCGAGAAAAATGTGAGCCTGTTCCCAATATATATATATATATATATACTATATATTATATATATATATATATATACTATATATATATATATATATTGGGAGAATCTCACATTTTACTAATATCTTATACTTTATATCGTACCTTTCTAGTCTTTTTGATGACTTCGGAGTTTGTGCATGTTTATTATAATGTATCATTAACTCCAGATTGGTAGATGTATGGTATTAGTAGAATCATTTCATTGAATTTTTATTCTGACTATACAGGAGATAATTCCCCATGACTCGAACTCTCCAAAAGACATCGCCTTCTTCGAATGGATGTTCCAGTTACCTCGCAGGGTTCTCAGTAAAGAACCTTAAATTGGAGAAGTTTTTTAGGACAAAACAGGTTTCCGAGATTTTTCGCTTTTGTGGACCTTTCATTGCCCATTCTCCATCATCATCATATGCACCATTGTCACCTTCAAGCGTAACCCCTCATTTCGCATATGCACCCCCTCATTACTTAATCGCATTTAATTTAAAATGGTTGTCGAGTAGCGAGTTTGAGAAACCCGGTTGTGAAACAGCAACTGTCTGGTGATATATTTCTAGATTGAAGATACTTAAATGTTTGTGCGCAAAAATTCAATCTAAATGCTGATTTCATTCATCCATACGTTGTACCGATCTTGTTTGTGCTTCTACTTACCTTTAATCACAATCTCTGCACGTGTTTCTAGAGTTCAAAGAGGGAAGTAACTGTTATTCAATTATCGTTCTGCGATGTTCTCATGGGCAGGCAAGTTGATTGATTCACCGAAGAGTACTAATGGACGGTAAATGGTAAAAATCATAGCTGATTGTCTTTGCTTAGATTTTATAAACGGGAGCTAATATTTTCCCAATACTTACAAAACTCATACAACCTCTGTATTTGGCAATTCCGACTTGTGTATGGTTAGGTTACGGGATCTTAGGAATCCCAGGCATTAAACGAATCGTGCTCAGATAAACTTCTCGAAATAGGTTGAACGCCCTTCGATGCGAACATCCCCAACCTTATTTGTTAATTCAGTTTGAATGCCTACGATAAAATTTTGTCTGATGTATCCAACACGTTTAATATAATTTTAAGTAAATATGTTGATATCAAATTTCATCTCCTGATCATATTTTATTTATACCATTTGCCGATTCCTTCTCCAGTTCTGATACAATGCATTTCATGTGGCCGGTGCGCTGGGCGCGTTGTTCTCGAGTAAGCGCCATTGGCTTGGTGTGGCGTGTGTCCGCAGGAGGCGCTGGCGGCGCGGCGGGTGAAGCGCTACGGGCGCGCAGTCGCTGTCCATCGTGGGCGCCGCTGACGTGCTGCGTCAGCGGGCTCATGACGAGCTCAACCGGCGACGCATGCGCGAGCTGGAAGGCCAATCGCATGCAAGCAGAACCGCCAGCTGGCTCACCGTTCCATCGGCAAGCGCTTGGACGCTCAAGGTAATCACACGCTCACGCTCCTTTTTTTTTTTTTTTTTTTTTTCGTCTCGGCCGACGGAACACGGCATCCTGCATGCATCTACATTTACCGTGCTCAGTATCATATCGCGGTGGCAGGTGCATGAAACTTTTAATTGGGAACGCAGCATTTAGCTGAGTCCTATTTTTATTCCCCAGGGTTGTTACCCCTGGGGTGCGGAATATGAAATGATGATGAATAATGAGGGGTGAAGGACGGCAAGCACTCATACAGACATACACCAATACCCCATGTCCACAAGCGGACTCGATCCGGCGATCTTCTGGTCCGCAAACATACGGTACTATTCGTAGCGATTTCGGCATCTGAATCGGCAAGTGTTATATTATTATATTATTATATTATTATATTATATATAATTATATTATTATATTATTATTATATTATTATTTATATATTATTATACTTATTATTATATATTATATTCTTATTATAGTTTATTATTATATTATTATATTATTATTTATTAATTATTATATTATTTACTTGTTCTTTCTAGTTTTAATAACTGATTGTCAGATCGGAGCGAGGCTCTTTCGTCTAAATTTTTTCCCCATAATTCGGTGCAAGATTTGCTCCCCTCATCTTCTGTGTTCTCAGCGATACTCACGTCGTTAGATTTAAGGATCAATGGGGAAGATTGCAATGGACCTCACGCTCGGAGGTCCATCCGAGTGGTCTCCAATTGCGTTCAATTTCCGCTGAGACCCTAAAAGGGGAAATGAGGCGGGGTTTGTAGAGTATACAGTGTGATTTAGAAATGTCATAAACAACCTTTGGGCATGTTGAAAGGTCGAAGGTGACCACCATCCTTTTTGGCCAATCGCCATGTCGTAGGAAATCCCATATAACAGTTGCAGCAACTGGCATTACTGACAATGCGCCCTGATTGCTAGCAACTTATTCTGCATAGGTGGTTTTAGGCAGGTAAGTGATTTTTTTTAGGGAACGGACCGTCCTCAGAGTTCTTGTATCCGCTGTGGACGGCGGCTCTTTTACCATGTTTGGACGATTCTGTACGTTGCTGCCTGCAGAGTTCTTGTACTTGCTGTGACCGCGACTTCTTCTTCCTTTCAATGTTCAGAGTTAATGTAGCCTTACTGTGACAGAGTTATTGTACTGCTTGTTTGCAGAATAAATTAGACCTTGTTGTGGGAGAGTTCCTGACCTGCTACACATTAGTGCTGAAAGGGTTGCCCTAACAATTAGACGCGCGTTTAACAGTAATGTCAGCTGTGTAACTTCGTTTAAATGAGATTTCTCCATCCCAAATCCGTGGCAAAAAAGGCGTCATTTGTCATATACTAGTACCCCCTAATACTGTACATACTCTAGAATTTTGTCAATCTGAGGTATTCTTGTATTTATTTCTGACCCACCTCTGAATGAATCATCAGTGTAGATGACAGCAACTATAAAAGCATCAAAGTCTGTAAATCCATTTGAGAAACTGTTGAGAAAATACGGGTAAAAAGAACGGACAAAAAAAGAAAAAGATCTAATAAGAAAGAAACGAACGAAACGTAAAGAAATAAATTATAACAAGAAAAAGAGGAAAACGAGACGAGAACGCAAAAAAAAAGCATAACAAAAAAAGACAGAGAAACGCGCAAAGACATAAAAACTAAAAGAAAAAAAAAAATAAAAACGAAAGAAGAATAAAAAAAGAAAAATGAAACGAACAGAAAAAACAAAAAAAAACAGAAAAAAAAACAAAAAATAATAAAAATAAAAAAAAAAAAAAAAAAAAACGAAAACAAACAGAATGAGACAGAAAAAAAAAAGATGAAAAAAATAAAGAAAGAATAAAAAAAGAGAAAAAACTGCAAAAAGTTGAGAAGAAATAAAAACCAACGAAAAAACAGGAGGAAAAGAATGAACACAACATAAAAAAAAATAATAAAAAACGAAAACGAAAAAAGAATACAAAAAGCAAATACAAAATTGAAGAAAAACACAAATGAAAAAAATAACCGAGAAGAAAAAAGAATATAAAGAATAAAAAAAATACAAGAAAAGAAAGAGACAAAAAAAAAACAAAGAAATTGAAAAAAACGGCCGCCTCATTTAGCAATTTTAACAACTATACGCTGAACCTGTGCAAAAATTCGGCAGCATTTGTGGCTCATGCAGGATTATTGATATACTCTAATTTTTACGCCTACAATTACAATTCTTGAAACAATAAATTTAATATTTTAAGCAGAAGGTGTTGAGTGCATGGAGATTAGCTTGTTAAATAATGACTAGTTTTTTTTTAGTACTATTGTATATATTATTTTGAATTAACATTAGTTATTTTTAAACCCGAATCAATCGAGTTTATTGAATGACCGTAAGTTTACTATTAAAGAAATTAGTAAAAACTATTTTTTGAATGAATGAAAATCAGAACGGTAAAATAAGTGGCATTTTATAAATTCTGGAAAACTGTTTATTTAATTCAATATCACTGTAAAGGTCGTGGCGATTTTTTCATCAGTAAAACCACGGCATTTCAAATATGTCCATTTAAAAACACGAAATTACACCTGGTATGAACATTTAGCCTAATAAAAACACAAATTTTCTCAGATTTATAAGAATGTTCACTTATCCCCCGGTTCTGTTTTTAACCATTCATTTGTAATGTGTCAGCAGGCTTCTCGAGCCCATACACCCAACTTGGGGCGCATGTATTGTTCATTTAAAGTAAGCTAAAAGCGATGACTTTAACTGAGAATCATCGTTCATTTCATTGAAACTTCATGGGTTTAGGTCACACTTAATTTTTATTGGCGGCCACAGTGAAATGTTTAGTTTTTTATTTTGTCCGTTCTTCTGCGAAGCACTGTGGAGCGGTGGGCCACCTGACAGCGGCTGTTTCGTGTGTTTCAGGCTTCCGCCGCGGTGGCGCTGTGGGGTAGCTGGGACGACAGGCTGGCGGCCGAGCAGGCGTAGACGGCCCAGTGGCCTAGGTAGGACGATGCAGCGCACGCGGTGGATTATGTCAATGATTTGTTTATTTTGTTTTGTTTTTTTCGGCGTTGCCGAAGGGTCGGTGTGGTGATTCGATCGAATATAACTCGTAAATGATCAGAGGATACTTGATCGTAATTGGCAGTTCACACGCTTTTGCGTTTTTACTGCTAGGTGTAATTTGTTTTGTGTAGGTTCGGCGACGGACGCGGTGTCACATGGTCGAAACCACGAGCAGAATAAAACCGCTGTCCCTATAGTTCAACGCTCTTGGTGGAGGCTCGCCCGAAATAGTGCCCGCCATGTTATTTGAGAGTCAAAACATACGAAGTGATGGTGTAACCCGTCCGTAACCAGGCGCGAACATATGTTATCCTGTGATTTTCATCACCAACTTGCCCGGGCAGGTATCGCTGTTTGACGTTTCATCCAATTCGGAGCTTAAACTCCACTATTGTGACGTTCACACTCCCGATTTAGAGGAAACTGGTAACAGTGAGACTGCCAAGGGGCAGTGTTTGCATTAATCGGCAGTATAGATACTTTTGTTTTCCCAGAGGGCACTGTTTGTTACGAAAAATACACGGCTTCAATTTGCTCCATAAGATGGAGGCGCTTTTCCAGCCACTCTATGTAGTCATATTCAAAACCGATTTTAATTACGTCTATGCATGTCTTTATATCTTAATGTGTGGGTAGTTGGGAAAAAATGATTGATAAAGTATGTTAAAAGCAATCACTGTAAATATTTATTATTTTGATATTTCAAGGTAATACCATAGAATATCAAATAAAATAGTTTACCACTGTTCCTCAACGAATGGAAGATTTTCCCTAAAGGAATACTCCCGCAGAAGATGGTAAAATGTTTTTCCCTAAATCAAATGAACATATGAGAGTTAGCACTATAATTCTAACATAAAAAAATAATATTTTTTTTAATATTTCTTAGCCTCCATCCATTACTCAAACCTATCTACGCCTATAAACGAGTTCCATTTTAATTTATCCGTTACTTAGACTAATTTTTTTTTGACGCACAAATATGACGAATAGAACGTTAAACACTATCGAAGAAACTTCTTTCGATAATTTTCCGGAGGCCCAAAATTTCAAACAACAGAATATTTTTGAAAAACAGTAAGGTATAATATTTTAACTGCTTCTAGAAAGCTCGAACAGACTCGAAGAAAATCACAATAATGTTTCTCTAAATACAAATTGTTGTGAATTTTTATCATATTTTTTTCGAATTGCTGGACTCAAGCTTAAAAAAATAAAAACCATTTTCCCGCTTTAAATACACCTTGACTATAAATAGTACTTGAAAATGACTGCAACAGTTCTTGCATTAAATTTTAGTGTTATTATAACTTTTATACATTATTGCAGCAAGCCAGTAATATTTTGACTTTGGATGTAGTTACGTATCAAGTCAAAATATTACTGGGTGCTAGCAACAATGTAACAAATATATAATAAACACTAAAATAAATGCACAGAATTTCAATCAATTTTTCAAAAAAGTATACTTAAAGTCATGATTATTTAAAGACTGGAAAAAACTGTTTATAATTTTTTAACTAAAGGTCTAAAAACATCTTTTGAACATATTCAATTTCTCATCTTTTCATCGAAATTCAAGCTATTTTAAAGGAGGGACTTAGATCCGTTAATCAGTGCATTGTCCTTGTGGAAATATTATTATGTATACTTTCCTGGGTGGCTGGTGCCGTCCAAACAAACTGGGGGTTTGCATTTCATCGAATAACGGGAATTTAATTAAATGATTATTAATTTACAAAATTCAGAACACTAATAATTATTATAGCCGGCCACTAACTCCTACCGCACTCTCGAAAAAATAAGTACAATGCATGACTTCATTTGAAATTCTTTTTGCAGCCCAGTATGAGCATTAAATCATTATTCAGACCAATGATTTATGATTAAGTTTGGATCTTATAAGCATCTCAAGTTTTGAACTAACACTTGGCATAATGTAGTGTGTATTTTTTCTGTTTCAGACGCCTTTGAATCTGCAAAAAGAAACCAACGAAACCCAATTGGATTTATGGATGTTCTTGGATGTCTCTTTCTGTCCCAACAGCCACTGGGTCCAGAAGATTTCTCTTCATTTGATTGACTAATGTAATGTAATCTGGCGAAAAAAGGCAAAGAAAAAAGCAAATAATCTTCATGAAGTGTCAATCAGTTTTTTTTGGCTGCGCTGTTGGTCTGATTGCATCATGAAACAGTCATTGTTTTAATGTGATTTCTCTGTTCTGTCTCCCTGTTTCCTTGTTTGATCTTAACTATAATGCTGACATATGTAACGATACTGTAAAGTATCTATATTTTAGTATTAATACATATTAATCTAGAATACATGCTACCCGTTGTTCCATTGCAGTCATGTATGGGTCGCTTTTTCTTTTGTCTCGTAGTTTGCTGTATCAATGGTTCTGTGATAGCATCTGCTGTGGATTGCTACAACAAATTTACAGTGTATTTCTTTTTTTTATTCCAGTAATGTCTTATATTTCATAAAAAATATATTTTCGCAATTCATAATTCAACATTTATTTAGTTTTCTTTTCTTTTGAATTCAGTGTACAATAATGAATTCAAAAGTATGGCCGACTTCACATAATTCGAACATATTTTATTCCTTGTATATTCAAATTTAAATTATTAAATAATAACTAAAGATATAAGACGGTGGATGCTACATAGAATCAATAATTTAGTAGAAAATATATTATTTTCTTTTTTTTAAGTAATCTAATAATTCCCCCGTGGCGCAGGATCAGCCAAATATTGTAAAGTCCTAAGACCTTGGTTGGTTTACAAGAGCAGATGTTTTATAAATTAAACTTATTTCAATAAACAACTGTAGCTGCTTATTAAATTAATTTTTCAAATCTTAAATTCTTAATGAGTTATTTTGTCTAAATTATTGACTGAAATGTTTCTACCTATTTAGAGGTAGTTTTATACAATCAACTGAACAGTAATTCCCTTGGATAACGTTTAAAAAGAAGAAAACTATAATTAATACAGACACATATGTAATAATAGTAAATAAAATACTTTGTATAGTCAAATTATTTAGATATTGTTAACAAAAATTCTTTAATGATCCAACTTTCTTATTGAATCAATAACTAGAAAAATGAATCACACATTTACGACAGTGTCTCCATTTAGAAATTCAAGGTAAAAAACAATGAATTAATACCTAGCTTCATTTAAATTGTTCACACATTGAACACAAATGGTTTCATTTTAGAAAAATTTATCCGATATTGAACAAGAAAATTCTTTCAGTTACGGTTCACTGAAATTAACTAAATACGTTTATCTAGTTAACACTGATACAAGCATATCTACAAAATTCTATAAACAATCATACCACATTTCTTTATTACTTTATTTCATGCAGATGCCAAAATAGCCCCAATCATGAGGTTTTTCATATAACAACGTTATTATGCCCCTGATAGTAATACCAAGCTCATAAAGTGGCTGCCCAGTATATAAACCAATTCCTCAATACAATATAGATACACTTGTGATTTACAGAATGACCAATATGTAATAGAGAACTGTCAGATACATAAATAATGATTTGTGTATTTAAAACTGGCTGCAATAAATGGGAGTAGTTCTGTTATCTTGATTAAATTAATTTTACAAATGCAAGCCTTGGTAGAGAATTGATTTGGTATTCTCTTTTATATCCTCTTAATTGCTATCTTAATATCTTATCCCCTATCTTAATTTCCGACACAAAGAAAAATTTACAGAATATGAGAGGTTGATACTTAACACTTTCCCAGCAGAAAATACAAGTTGTGTTTCAACAAAGTGAACATCCATTGTCTCTGTTTGATAATAAGATATTTTAAATCATATTTCTCAAGTATTTTATTTTTTCTTCTAGGAAATGAAAAGTATTCAAAAAGGTCAAACATGTCCGAGAAAACATAATACGCTTATTTTCCAAGTATTGTGAAAAAATTGTGTTCAAAAGAGAGAACAACAAGAGGTGCTTCAACATTTATCATTCTCCGGAGACAAAGGGTCAAGTTAGGCAGAGTAAGCTGAGCTAACCCAGGGATTGAAGGCGAAAAAACATCTCATTAAAAAAAAGATAAATTATACATTAATAACGTCGCTTTTAGCGCAATTAATATCGTACTTACGCGCTCCAAGTATTTTTTTTTCTGTTCTTTTGCTCGATTTCCATGCCGTGTGTCTTTCCACGCGACTCGGGAGGCGGGCGAGGCTGGCGAGAGCATAGCGTTAACATGAAAAGTTAGGACTAGCGTCCATAAGCGAACTCCGTCACAATGCGTTCGCGTAAGCATATCACGTAGACATCTTAAAAGCTTGCAAGCCTTCAAACTTCTGGTGCTTATGCTTAAAGTAATAGGCATAAGAGAATGACTAATCCACAGAAGGTAGCTCAAAATCGAGAATCGAATTGGAGCGAGGTCGAATCAAAAACTACGCCATATGGGAACTACCATGACAAAGTCGATACCTCGAAACTCGATTATCACATACACCAATAGTAAACCAGAATGTCCTCACAGCCAATAGAAACCTCTTATTTTTTGCTTACGTTTGTTTAGACAATTGTGAATACTTCAGTCTTCGTCCACTTATGTTAATGTTTAATGTCTAGCGCAACCGAGTAATGCTTACGTTTGCATTGTGAATGGGCCGTTAAGCGTTAGGATGGCAAAAATAAGCTTTCAAAAATGGTGCAGTTGGTACGATTTTTCATTGAAACCTCTGAATTATCCAAAAATGCAAAAAGTTTAAGAATTATCTCTACCAATTACAATAATCAAGATATTACATTTTTTAGTAATAAAACTCGATTTTTGAACACAATTTTTTAGAAAACCTTTTGTTCTAATAGATCAAAATTCTCGTAATAATATGAACATTATTCCAACCGACAGAAATTTTTACTGAAAACTATGTAGCCTAATGGCCTAGTGAGATATGTGGTATATGAATTTCATTATACTTATTATCTTGAGGAAAAAATCAATAAACAATTAGTTTTCGACGGTGACTGAATATTTCGGGTTTCTGGGCGCGTTAACGGCATGGCCATAGTCGCCATTCAATTATTAGCGCCGTTTCTCACAGGAACTTTTTATTGATTGAATTAGTGATTCGGGCATGTCAATGCTCGATATTAGTCCGTAAGTGTAGTACCGTCAGGAGAGGCACAAAGGAAGCTCACGATGATCCGGGACGTGAAGTGGCCAGGTGAGGGATGGCGAATCGTTAAGAGCAGGAACGCGAGTTTACAAGAAATTTTTGATTTATTTACATTGCTTCATACTATTTATTTGTAAAAGTCTTAGCAAAATTTTGAAATGAAGGGATAAAATTGTATATCATATTCATTTAATTCATATTTAATATGAATGATAAAAACGCAAATAAGAAATTATAATAAAATGATTAACGATTGGCTAACGGTGGCAGTTTAGATTTGTTTAAATTATTCAATTAAATTGTCACAGTTCAAGTTAAATTTTTGTGTGTTGGGTACGTGCGCATACACTTACATTGTCACAAGCATTGGCACAGCACGCAGAATAAATTGTACCTTGTCCGATACGACGCGCGTGGATCCCAGCAGTGTTCATCCGAAGACGAAGCTGGATTTGCACGACGTCAAATAAGTTCGCCGAATTCGGTTTCGCGAAAGTAGCCCCGCAGCTAGGAAAGGACCTGGGCCAGCCAGTCGCTGTCGACGGGACGCTGGCTAGCAGTAGTATTTGTGGGTCAATACGGGCTGTAATATCGCACACAGTTCGAGAGAGGTTTGTAAAACGTAGTTTATTAACAAAGTAGAACACCGTAGTCTAAATTTAAACAACTACCCGCTGCTCACAATAAACTAAATATAATTAGACCCACTACAAGAGGAACGGCTACGCACTACCGCAGCATACCACCGATGTTCCTGTATGAAGCCGCTCTACTTTGAGACGCATCTACGCGTCTCGCAAGTCACGACAATGAATTGCCGGCCCCTCGCCTAGTGCACTACACGCACAGACCGCGCTTCATGTGGTAGTGTATCTAAATGCACTACACTACCACACATGTCGGGAGCGTAGAGCTTGTCTTGGCTGCACCGGTGCCCCACTTGTGCCCCGTAAGCGTGTGTAAGTAAAGGGTAAGGATGGAACATGTAAGACGAAAGTCCCGTTAGTGTAGAGCTTGTTTTTTATTGTGGGAGGTGGTGGTGATCTTCCTCCTCTGGATCCAGCGCCGACCTAACTGTCGGCTTGCAGGGTTTTCCTCAACTAGGTTTCTCCCACGAACATCGCACCGCCTCAGCCGGGACAAACTCCAAGCTCTCGACTGCTTTCCCAGTATGTGTAGTAATGTAGTACATGTTAGTATAAGTGTGCGTAAGGGGAGAGGAAATGACAAGGAAGAGGAAGGAAAGATCGCGCGGGATCCGTGGCACGTTTGTTTGGGGACTGATTCGGTATTCACCTGGAGATGGAAGAAACCACGGAAAACTACTGATCAGAGGAGCCGGCAGCTAGCAGTCAGCGACTGAATTCGATCTATCTTGTGTCGAATTTTCTGCAAACGTCAGGACTCGAATCCTAGAACTGGGTTGATACTAGGACCTAGGTGAGGTAAAGCATTGGTATCAGTTGACACCTTAAGGCACTTCAGCCAATGTATAGTTCTTGGAGTTGCAATTATCTCTCACAGAATTTGTATCAGCAATAGCCATTGTCTGCCAATTGTATTTTGTCCGAAAATCTTCTTTATTGTCACTTTGAATTTCCCTTTATTTTTGTGAATATTTCTTTTTGAACTCTATTTATAATTATTATAATCAATTTAGATTGTTTTATCCCTTTCTGCTTCACTTGATAGCACAACATTGAAGACCAGAGCAGCAACAACTAAAAGTAACCCGTCCAATTTACAGTTAGATATTAACACAGTCGTACAGTAAGTTGTTAAATGCTCTGCCTTTCTCGATTCTGATTCTTGAAACATGTCTCTCTATACGTTACAAACAAATTCAAGAATAAACAACAAACGACAATAAATTTCACTTGTGAGTTTCAGCTTGCACAGCAAATTTCATGTATGAGGTGGTCACAAATTGAATTTTCTTTTGCAACATAAAGTGCCAGTTAAAATTAATTACGTCTAAACGCCTCAACTGTAATTTTTGTAAATGTGAATTCATTGAAGTGGTTAAGCAGAAGAGCAGACATTTTGCCCTGAACCCCACCATATATAAAGACAATAACTACAATATATTCTGACATATGCAGTATTCGACATATTTCACCATTACCAATACCATACTGGTGATGGTAAAGAGAAAAATACAGGTTTTATTGAATATTCATCGTACGGACACGTAATATTAAATTACAGCGTTGTCACAAGCATGACCAGAAGATTTTCCTTTTAATGTGTACATTAAACAATCTTTTAAAAACTCTACGAGAACTACTAAAAATGGAGACTTTAACATACGAAAAATAAAGGAAAGAATTAATTTTCTGTCTTTCAATTCCAATTATTGAAACTTCCAGGTAATTAAGTACTGAGAATTAAAGAAAGAAACAACGGCTACGAAGAACTCCAATTGTATGTTGGCTGCGCAACTCGTAAAAGCTCGCTCGGAGTCCCGGTGCTGCCAACGACTGGCATTGGCTCCGGATGTTCCTGCTCAGAGGGAAGCCTCGAGGGGGGGAGGGGATAGAGAAGGGTGGAGAGGGGTGAGGGAGGGGAGAGTGCAGCGGGATGAATTCCATTCACGCGCCGTAATCCGATTCGCGTGGCGGATAAGGGGCAGTGAGAGGCGAGAGCAGGGGCGGGGTGTGAGGAGGGGTATGAGGAGGAGC